TAAGAAACAAACGTGTGGAGAAAGTTTTCACGCATGAAATGCATTTACTTGGTGCGCAAAAGTCTTCAGGAATTATATCTAAGTGCTCAGTGCAATGCTTTTGTCATCCCCAAAAGATCCTTAACAGGACCTTTTCCGGACCAATTGTTGTCCTCAGAAAGCACTCGAAAAGACGTTTTCGGGGCAAACCAGCTTGTGTCGTCCTCAGTAAGTACTAAGGTCAATGAGAACTGTGCGAGGACGATTGTACCATATGAGGACGACCTCAGGACATCGAGTGTTGTCTGGGCAGTTTCACGACATTTGCTGCTCACGAAGGTTGTGAGTTTGTCTACAACGGATGCCATTGCTGCTTTCTACTGCGTACGAGGGTAGACAGGCCCTCGGAAATATGGATTGTCGCATACAGTATTTATTTATTTATTTATTTATTTATTTATTTATTTATTTATTTATTTATTTATTTTGAAGGGCAAGAGGTGATTAGCTCTCACCCTGCGTAATCTAGCTTTTTGCTTTTTGCAGTGGAAAAGGGCAGGAAAGAGCGAGCTATCGAAGTATAGGTGTCCAGAAAAGATACAGGAAAAACTAAGGAAGTAAGCAATGAGGAAAACGGAGAATAATTTTTTCTATCTATCCATTCATTCCTTCACATTCGATCGTTAGCTCATTTGTTTCTACCATGGTGACAGTTTTTGTAGTCATTCTACATTTCTCTTACGGCGATAAAACTTGGGTATTGGAGCGTGGAAACTTGGGCAAGTTGGTCGGACATAACTGAATGCAGGAACAGCGCAACCTAGAAATAGTTACTTCGTAACTACGGAAGCGAAAAAAACAAGGACAGAAAAGAGCTCTCTTTTCTGTCCTTGTTTTTTTTTTTTTCACTTCCGTAGTTACGAAGTAACTACTTCTAGGTTGCGCTGTTCCTGCATTCAGTTGGGTATTGGAAATGTAAAGTGGAGCATAAATGACACAAGTTGGCCAAGGTCCGGCTGGAAACGCCTCAGCGTGGAAATGAAATACAGCAGGAAAAGATGAGACAAAATTAGCGCAAGAAGTTTAAAGATCCGGCCGTTTTTTTGCGATATCTTGTGGATTTGGGGTATCAGCCGGCTAAACGCTCTTTCTGAGCTGACACTGCGTCAGCACCTGCGTGCGTTCGTGCCAGTATGATACGCTGAAGTCCACATGTCACTGCACCAAGCAGCAAAGGGTCACCACCGGGTATACGAGTCGTCTCTCTGCGCGTTCCTTCTAAATGGCAGTGCTCACTGCATCGTGCAGTATGTAGCTCATCATAGGGTGCGTGCTGTGTGTATGTCTCAGGGGCGGGGCCAGGATCTTTTTACTGAGGAGGGGGGGGGGGGATAACGAAAGGCGAGTTTCTTGCAGGGGGCAGAAAGACGGGAAAAGTATGCATTGTCTTTGACTGTTTGCTCTTGCGGGACAACGGGGGTGGCAAAAGGCTTGAGCCCACCACCCTTCATGTGTCTGCACCATAAACCGAAGTTGAGGCAGCCGATGACATGCCAGTTTCACAAAGAGCAATCGAGAATGCGCGGTCGAAGTATCACGCCCTTTATGCATGATACGAGTGTCAGCATATCCACGGAGTGCATGGCGATGCGTGGGGCGAAGCGTCCATCCGTCCATCCGTCTATGCGATCATACGTGCGTCCATCCGTCCGTCTGTGTGTCCGTCCATCCGCGCCTCCGTCCGTGCCTCCGTCCGTCTGCGCGTCCATCCATCCATGCGTCCGTCTATCCTTACCTCCATCTGTGGGTCCAACCATGCATCTGTCTGTCTGTCTGTCTGTCTGTCTGTCTGTCTGTCTGCCTGTCTGTCTGTCTGTCTGTCTGTCTGTCTGTCTGTCTGTCTGTCTGTCTGTTTGTCTGTCTGTCCGTCCGTCCGTCCGTCCGTCCGTCCGTCCGTCCATCCATCCATCCATCCATCCATCCATCCATCCATCCATCCATCCATTCGTCCTTACGTTTCTCGACCCGTCCGTCCATCTAGTGAACACTCCATGTACCGCCATCTTGCATCTTTCCAACATATATTCATCACATGGAAATACCACCATCTTGCGGACATTCCGTGTCCGGTTTGCTGATACTAGTTTTTTCATAGTAAGCATCAAATTGAATGAATGAATGAATGAATGAATGAATGAATGAATGAATGAATGAATGAATGAATGAATGAATGAATGAACTTAAAGTCCAGCAGTTTTCACTGGGCGAGGTTGGAGAAGGTGGGATTAACCGCTATCCCTTCCCACTCAAATTTTATTGGAGATTATGTCACCAATACTCGTCTCTGTGAGTTATTTCATCAGAAACACCTATATTTTTATTTTTTATTTATGATTAACGTGCGCTCAATTCAAAAGGGTGCGCACGTGCAGCTCCTCTAGCCCGGCCGTGGAAGTGGCTACTTACTACTACTACTGCAACTACTACTACTGCTACATACATCGCGAACGCACGACCCACGGCTTAGGGAGCTTCGCCCCCCCCCCCCCCGCCTAAAAAGTCACGACTATACTTATCTCCCTTTCTCATAGTGACAAGCCTAAACACGTACATTTAACCATGATGATGTCCAAGATTTTAGCGATCAGATTTATCTGTGTCTGCGGCAATTGCATCAAATTAGAGAGGACGCTATTCGACATCTGTAACAAGGAAAGAAGCAGAACTAAGCAATAGATTTTTTTTTTTTTTTTACGCTGGAACTTTTTCCCCCGCTCGGTATTCGATAATGCAACGTCTTCAGGGAAGAAGAAAGAACCTCACGGTCCGCTTCCCGAAACTACTGATGTAACCACGACAAAGGTAAACGCTCGGTCGCGTCGCAGCCGAAGTCTTGGGAGCCAAAATTCGCTATGCGTTGTCACACGCACTCGTCAGCTGGGCGGCGGAAAGAGCAGCCCGGAATGGGCCTTTCACGGAGCAGCTTTGTCTCCCAAGGTTAACGTGACGCAACGGGCTCGGCTTCGCACAGGACGGACCGGCGCTGCCGCCGCCGAAGTTGGCCAACTGCTCGGACACGACTCGGCGTCACGCAGCTGGCCCGGCTGGCTGCGCTCGTCGCATTGTTCTCCGGACACGGCACACCACAAGGACTCGCCTTGAAAACCACGCGTGTTTTCACGCTTCTCTCGGCGTGGGTGCATCGGCGCGGTTGTGCAAGGGGACGCGAGTTCCGGAGTGCGCGTCCGTACGCGACGCCACGCTGAAAACAAGTTGAGCTACGACGGGGGCGGTGCCTCTTGTGAGTCAGCGCGCGGACATGCTCTCTGTAGCGACCGAGACTTATTTCCTGGAAGCATCGCATTCAGAAAGTTGTGAAATCACTGCAACCTTTAGGAACGAAGCTCCTTAGGAGTCGGGACATTAGGAGTCTTCCGTTGTGTTCACGGTACAGAACCATTGGTATATAATCGAAACATGTGACACACACACACACACACACACACACACACACACACACACACACACACACACACACACACACACACACACACACACACACACACACACACACACACACACACACACACACAGATTTTACTATAGACTTCAACGTAGACATCAGCCAATTAAAAGAGATCGCCGTTCGTGGCGAAAACAATCTATCGAAAAGAGTACCGATGAGTTGATCGCAAGCCCCGCCGCGGTGGTCTAGTGGCCAAGGTACTCGGCTACTGACCCGCAGGTCGCGGGATCGAATCCCGGCTGTGGTGGCGGAATTTTCGATGGGGGCTAAAATGCTGTAGGCCCGTGTGCTCAGATTTGGACACACGTTAAAGAACCCCAGGTCGTGGAAATTTTTGGAGCCCTCCACTACGGCGTCCCTCATAATCATATGGTTTTTGCGGCGTTAAATTCCACACATCAATCAATCAATCAATCAATTAGTCAATCAATCAAGTCGGTGTGAACTAAAATGTGCGAGATGCTGTGGCAACCTCGCGCACGGGCTATCAAGAAATATATCGCCACGTTGGGCCCCGCGATACCCACAGTTGGGCCCCACGTTGGGCGCCAACTGTGGGTAGCAGGCTTGCTGCGTCCTGTAGTACGCCTAAATACAAAAGTGCGCCTAAATACAAAAGTACGCCTAAATACAACTACGGGTGCCTCAAGCATTTTCGCCTCCATCAAAAATGCGGCTGCCGTGGCCGGGATCCAATCTCGCGACCCCAATTATTTGTCGTGCAGGGAAACGGCACATAAAACCGACGGAAACCCTCTGCGTCCTACCATGTTGGTTCTCATCGTGGTCTTATCTTTTTTAGGCTGCGTTTTCTATCACTCAAAAAGATTTGCGGCGACATATTGCCCTGCGCCCTTTGTATGCAAATGCGAATTTTCATGGTTGAGGTAATCGTCGGAGTATAGTTTTGAATAATGCGTTCCGAATAACCAAAAAAAAAACCAATAAAAACCAAATATGAAGCGCTCTTTTCTCTGGAATCGCTCGACCCGCCGCGAGCGTTTCGTATACATCTGTTAAGCGGTTAATGCAGCCAAGTTTGCGTGTCCTGGTGACATATCCCACGGTCGGCAACTTGTTACAGCCACTTGTTAAATACGTATGCGGCACAAAACGGCTGTTTGACGTTGGTTGTACTTGTTATAACAATCTTTTCTTCTACTCTCGAAGCACAATCACGAAGGCCCGCATGAATGCTTAAATCTAATTCAAATACGCTGTCAGCTACACTTACAAAAAAAAAAAAAAACTCGTAAGATTTCTTTTTTGTGCATATATATCACGCATAGGAGATCCCATTTCAGTTTAACTTTACAGGACCTCTTATTGTGTATTTGTCCTTTTTGTTTGACGTGAAATAAATGATTCTGACACCAGTAAAGGTCTCTGTATCGCTCCGAACTGGCTTGATGCTGAGGATCCAGATGGTTCTCGCGTATTCATCCATTCTGGCATGCGATCGGCAAAGAGCATGCACAATCGAAGTGCGCCGACGCTACGCGGTCAGTCCGTGGCGCGCGTAGTAGTCGCGTATGAGGCGGATCTCGGAGCGCGTGGTATGCGCCAGCGCGTCGAGGAAGGCGAGGCAGAGCGAGAGCGCCAGGCAGCCTCCGCACACGGCGAGCGCGTGGGCGCGCAGCGCGTGCAGCGCCGCGTCGGCGCAGTTGTTCCAGTTGATGTGGAACCAGGCCTCGTAGTCGCTCATGTTGAGCACGCCCCGGCCGCACTGGAAGCTGGCGTTGTTGCTCTTGCAGCACGAGTGAGGCACCGAACAGCGCTCGTGGCTCGGGTTGTCCGCGCTGCAGTTGAAGTAGCTGCGAGACGAGCGCCAGAGTTGGCAGACGCGGACGCAGGACTGCGTGCGACTCTATTACAGCGCCAAAGGTCTATGCAACATTATAAGCACAAACACTGAACCAGTTTTGACTGCTGAAATATATTACTGAACGACCCGTTTCACGCTGAAGCAGCAAGAAAGGCGTCAAAGAAGGGGCGCGTTTTTTTTTTTTTTTTTTTTTTTGTTAGACGCAATGTCAATGGGAAAATAGGGACAGTCATGCCCAGGAAACTATGAGGATGTTTTTAGTAGTATTTGCAATGTTATTGTGCAGAATAAAAGTGCATTAAAAGATAACTTGCCGCTGACCGGGGTCAAAAGTTCAACGTAACGCGTCCGGTGCGCTTTATCATTGTCCGTTAGGTATCGTTAAGAGAGGCACCCAGGATGACGACGCGGTTTCGGTGTGTGAGAGATTCCGGGTATTTCGACCATCTGATGTTACTTAACGTGCGCTAGCACTGCACAGCCCACAGGCTTCAACCATTTCGCTTTCATGAAAATTCGACCGTCACGGCCGGGATCGAACCGACGACCTTCAGGTCAGCAGCTGAGCCCATGACGGACAGTTTATAAAACACTTTTATTTATTTATGCATTTGTTTATTTATTACAAATAAATAAATAGGTATTCATGTGAAAGTACCTTGCACGGCCACATGGACATTGAGTAAGGGGGCTCGACAGAAATTGTGTAAACCAAACGTACAAACAATTTTACACGAAGTAAGCAAAAAAAAAATCACAGTATATCCACGGAGTGCGTGATGAGTGAAGAGAAGCGTCCATCAGTCCACCCGCGCTTCCGCCCGTCCGTTAGTTCTTGCTTCCGTCCGTCCATGCGTCCATCCGTGCATCCGTCTGTCCGTCTGTGCATCCATCCGTCCACCCGTTCGTGTGGCTGTGCGTCCATCCATCCATCCGTCTGCTTGTCTGTCTCTCCATCCATGGCACATACCTCTCTCGGGTATGTGCCAGCGGTGGTTACAAACGATAACGGGACGATCGGGTGACGCCATAAGGAGCTTCGCCCCTAAAAGGTATGTACGAAACACAGCATATAAACAAAGGAGTTGTACAACAAAAATGCAGATATACTATTATAACACGGATGTATAAAACATCATCCGTGATAGGTGCTCCTTCCCCAATTCACGTTGAGTTCTTGGTTCCAGACTGTATAAATACGAGACACTGTCTTCCGTTTTGATATGGATAAACTTACAAACTGAATGATCGACTGGATTGATTAATTGATTTATTCATTACTTAGCTGAAGGAAACCGAACTCCCAGGGCACAGTCATTCGTATATGAGTGTTCACCTACTGAATCCGATGCAAAAGTTATCCGCTGTTTGACCGTCAAGTCACGATCGACACATGGCGACAGCAAACTATATATGTAACAGTGGAGAAGAAGGGGACACGTACATGTTGTCGTTCCAGTCCCGGAAGTTCTTGCTCGTCATGCCGCAGCAACCCAGGTGGCGCTGCACAGCGTCCACCAGCTGCTGGGCGTCCGGGGAGTCGCGGTAGTGCACCACCAACGTGGACGACAGCGTCCTCTGCACGGCCCTCTTGGCTCCGGCTGCAAGAGCGTGCGTTTTGATAACTTTTGAACAAGTCGCACATTAGCACTTGATGCGTCGAGTCTCACAAGCCTATAGCTATAAGATTGCGTTTTCGAAGAGTGGAAAAGAAAGAAAAAAGAGCATATTTTCATCACTTTGTCTTTGTGCTCGAAAGCGCATCCCAAACCGCACGCCGTTCCAATTCGTTCTAGATCAAACGCTCTATAGAAGCACACGTCTGAGGGCGGCTTAGCTGACGCCGTAGGGCACTGCTGCATTTATAGACGCTGGATGGCCAAGTTCAATGGACCTATAGGCCGTACGAAGTGCTGCATATTTGCTTCAGCTTAGTGGTACACTACACCAAGGACCAGGGACATTGCAGTACGATGGACTGCATATATCTGCGGCCCCCGTGCCATTTGTGTACTTATTATAGCCCTGTGCAATTCTTCCTGTAGTTCTAAAGTCTGTGATCTCACGGGCGTTTGGTGCGAAGATTACCGAGAACTTGTGGGTACAGAAAGAACAGGGTTCCATACCTGGCATGACAAGCACAACCGTGCCGAGCACCGCGGCGGTCATGATGAGGCCCAGTAAGGAGAAGGAGTACGCGCGCAGCAGGCAGGCGTTCTCGCGCAGCGCCCCGACGCAGCCGCAACACGAGACGGCACTCAGCAGGAGCCCGGCCCCGAGCAGGGCCAGCTCGAGGTGCGACATGAGCAGGCCGCCCAGACCGCCAAGTCGCAGGGCCTCGATGTCGTCGCGCCACTGCAGGGTCTGCACCAGCAACAGCGCGGACACGGCGCTCAACGCGACGCCAGCCAGGCACAGCGTGAGGTTGAACACCAGCAATGGGAAGCGAACCTACAACCATCGCAGAAAAGTCAAAGCGTAGGACCAGCGCTTAGTATTGAATGATCGTCAGCAATCCGGTCGTGCGGTGGTTTGAGACAAAGATCGAGCTGTGGTTATGACGGGATAGTTCGTCTGACAACTTTTTTTTTTTTTTTGCACCATACTCTGGCAGAAATGCACATACGCGAGGGAGAACATAAACAACTAGTCCCTGTCTGTTGTGTTATGTGATGAAGAGTTCGACTGACGCGGGATGTTTCTGAAATGAACTTTACTTCTTCAAGGCTGCCTTGAAGAAGACAAGTCTGCTTGTCGAAACGTTGTCTCCAGCGACACCTCGTGTTAGCGAATATTGCATCTCTTCCATAGATCTTGCCCTGAACTTCTGTCTTGCGTATGGGTAATTTTTAGTGCTAGATTACTCACAGAAATAAAGTCGCGATTGAAAGCAAGCGCTGGTATTTACGGGAAATGTTGTAGAACACTTCAGCTACTTGAACCATGACTCTGCGGGAGGAGGGCGGATAAAAACGTCCGGAACCACTGCAGATGCGTTCGCATGAAACTTGCTTTTAAGCATCACCGCGAGCGATCACACCGATGAAATTTCCCCGTGACATCTCTCACACGCCGTTTTACATCACATCAGCTACGAAGTGCGTCACACGAAGGCATGAATGCGAGCGCTAGGACATCACCAGAGGGTTGACGTCCAGCGGGGGAACTTGACTGCCATGGTGGACGCTCTCCTCAGAGGACGCGGCCATGAGGACAAGACGGCCTCGGATGGTGTGGTCTCCTTCCTGAGCAATAGTGTGGTCTCCATCCTCGGGACCCACAACCAGCATTCCTTCCTCTACACGTTCCGTCATTAGACGAAGACAGGAGGTCTATCTTTCAACAGCGGCCCGTTGTCGCTTCTTCTACTTCTTTCACTACGAAATGATGATTATGATGGTGGCGATAATTCATTCCTCGTGACGCGCAGCCACTAAGGGGATCGGGACAAGCTGTCGAGTGGCAGGATGCGCATAACAATGATCCATGCAAGTTGAGAGGAAACAATGAGAATGTTTCTTGGACACATTGAGAATGTTTAATAAACGAACAGACGAAAAGAACGACTAGCCAGGCTGACAAGTGGAAAAAAATATGCAAGATTTAATCGCGGAAGACGTGGTGTAAGGTCTGAGTATGTACGTGCACGGACAATCATTTCAAACAAAATCAATAAGGAACAACGAAAAAAAACACACAAAAAAACGCTAATCCTTTCGTTCCATTTAAATATTCGAACACTGGGGAGCTGACATCCTGTGAATAACTTGGTGTGGCGATTCATCACGAAATGCGGCGAGTGTGCAGGCACGCGGGGATGTGAACGAGTTGTCTCCTACTGTGTCTGCACGACTGGACTCTCTTTCGTAGTGGATGGCTACCAACTACCTCAGGGCTTTGTTGTTCTGGTGGCTTCGAGTGAAAAAATCACTGGAATAGTTCATCTTAACCGTATCATCTGAAACTAATCTTTGACTCACGTTTTCTCCTGATGAAACTAAAGAAGGTAATCTTTAAATGACTCGTTTTTTGTTGTCAGACACAATAATAATGAACAACTAGCAACGGTAACACCGAAAAAAGTATAGAGGATGTAATTTGTAGTAATTATGTTATTAGTGACAAGAAAGCAATGTGGACAAAATGCTGTTACCTCTAAAATTTACCCCTGGAGAAGACCGAAGCAATTTGATTGAAATAGATGAATCACAATAAAAATAAATGATATGCCATAGATTCGATTTCCCTGGTACGGTGGAATATGTTGCGGTAGCCGTCCATTAATTTGCTTTTTTGAATATTTTATTTATTTATTTATTTATTTATTTATTTATTTATTTATTTACAGGATTTCTGTTGGCTTAAGAGTGAAGCCATAAGCAGGAGTGGGTAACATATAAATATAGCACACTGAATGAACATTTTCACAATATATTACGCACAGAGAATGCCGCGGAGACACAGGTTTTAACGCGGTAAAAAGAAAAAATATACAGTGCATGACATGCAATTACACATATAATACCTATATAAGTGCGTACTAACATCGCTTGTGTACTAACAACGCAACGTCACAAAACAAAAAGTACAAATATGGCAGGAAGACATGCTATAAGTTTTTTAGCTCCGATAAGAATGACGCCACTTTCGCCGCCTCCACAATCCCACCAGGGAGGCGATTCCACTCGCGTACAGTTCATGGGAAAAAAGAGCCCATGTACAAGTTCGTTCTGCTAGAAAATTCCTGTAATATTTTTGAGTGATCCGTCCGCGTGGGTCGTCGCACGACTTTTTCTATATACGCACTTGAATCAATGCCAAGCTTATCGTGATAGAGCAGGTACATATATTTTAGTTTTTCGCGATATGCCGCAAATGTAAAGCTTCCAAGTTCGCTGTCCGAAGCAAAGCAGTGACTGACGTAAGGCGATTGTATGAGCGAAAGATAAATCGAGCAGATTTTCTTTGTAGGTTTTCTAGTTTATCAATATTTTTCTTTGTGTATGGGTCCCAGATCACGCAGACATATTCCAAAAGGGGACGAATGTAGGTTTTATATGCTAATAGTTTTATTTCTTGCGTTGACTGTCGTAACGATCTTCTAAGATATCCAAGCTTTTTCATGGCTTTCATTTCTAGAAAAGTGATAGGATCATTCCACCGGAAGTCTGAATTGATTGTTAAACCTAAGTTTTTATAACAATTTACAGCACTAAGACAGCGACCATTTATTGAATACTGGAAAGTAAGTGGTGCCTTCTTTCTTGAAATTGTCATTGAGACGGTTTTTGTAGTATTTATGCTCATCTGCCATTTTTCACATCAAATATGTAGTTTGTCCAGGGCACTACTTAATAATGCCTAGTCGGCAGGTGTGTTTACTTCCTGATAAAGGATGCAACCGTCCGCGAACAGTTTGATCTTGACAGGTATATCGTTTACGATATCATTTATATAAACTAAAAAGAATAGTGGCCCGAGAACCGACCCTTGGGGAATGCCTGATTGCACGGGCGCCGGGCGTGAACACTGGCCGCCAACTGATACGCATTGACTCCTAGACGATAAGTATGACTCTATCCATGAGAGAAGCGAGTTATTTTGTAATATGGGTTTTAATTTTAACAAAAGCTTATGGTGGGAGACGCGATCGAATGCCTTCTGGAAGTCCAAAAAAAATTGTATCGATTTGACTCTGTTTATCTAAGGCTGAGGCAAACTCGTGTATTGTCTTAAGGAGTTGGGTAACCGTCGACATTCCCTTACGGAAACCATGTTGGCGGTAATCAATCAATTTATTTTGTTGCAGAAACTTTGACGAGTGCGTAAAAATAATATGTTCTAGCAATTTTGAGCAGGTACACAGTAAAGATATTGGTCTGTATGACCTAATTAGTGAAGGATCTTCCGCCTTAGGGATCGGAACAATCTTCGCGCGCTTCAAATCTCTCGGGAGTTCTGCAGTGGACAATGTTTTTTTTTTTGAATATAATAGATAAATACTTTGAACACCATTCTGCATACCTTACTAGAAATGCGTTCGGTATGCAATCAATTCCTGGTGATTTCTTTATCTTTATTTTAAGCAGCAGTGATAACACACCCTCTTCAGTTATCTTTAAGTCAGAAATTTTAGGTACGTCCTGAGAAATCACAAAATTTGGTTGTTTTCCATCGTCATTTGTGTAGACTAAACAGAAGAACTTGTTAAACAATGACGCAAGGAGAGATTCATCAGTTACCAATTCTCCATTAATGAGGATTTTACATGCCTGTTGCTTCCTAGGTGACAAGTGTCGCCAGAACTTAGCAGGATCACAAAGCAAGAAGGACCATATACATGCTGCCCTGACCATGCAACGCTTGCATGAAAAGGCAGGTGCTTCCAACGCATTGCTACGACGACACGGTGGCGGCACCTACCCGTCGCCTTGCGTTCTACCCCTAATCACCTGCGGGACGGGCACGCATGCCGCGCGCTTCGTTATTCAAGAGAACTGCCAGATAGCGCTCATGTCCCACGTGTGACTTGACTTGCCGCTGCACGCTCGAGGCACTCTATAGTCACCGGTTTTCTTGCGCAGAACATCAAATAAACGTCTTGTTTACTCTCTCCAGACGCAAGAATATATCGTCTTTCGACGACATTTGCAGTGTAACATGCATATACGGGGCCAATTTTTTTTTAGTAGAAAACTAAAACAGCCTGTTCAAGTAAGGGAACATGTGCTGTCGTAACGGTTCGGAAAAGAAATCGAACTCGCTCTCGGAACTATTAGAAGATCGTACCCTGTGGCCGTGACACGTTGAGAGGATGACAAAGTTAGGTTCTATCCCGCGGACGCCGCTAGCGCGGCACACAGACACACGGCGGTGGTGCATGATGAGCGGCTCTCATGATATAGTAAGTGCTGCCCTTATCTCCTCCCCATCTTCAGCCATCGACTCGGTGGAGTTCTGGGCCGTTACCCTGGCCCATCCAACGCACCTTGAGCCTCTCCGCGGAAACGTATTACATATTCACAGATTCAAGAGCCGCATGTCGGGTTTACCTAACAGGTCGTTGCATGCCTTCCCAAAACATCACATACTATTCTTTCCGCACATCCGGAATGGCTTCACATAACAGCCACATAATACAGCTGCTCTGGACTGCTGATCATGCGGGTAATGAACGCGCTCATGCGGCCGCCCCAAAAGTCACCCTCCGAGCAGCCCCACGCAGTGAGGTGGCCGACTCAGTGATATGTGAGAAGTGAGTAACCAAGCTCCACGTCACACAGCATTGCATGCGCCAACGACCGCGATAACAACTCCCACCAGTTACCTTTACACGAGAGGAGGCTGTCGCACTTCCCCGGCTCCAGACGCGAACTTTCCCGAATATGTACTTCGTGCATAAAATATATCTCTATACCGACGCCCGTCCAGGATGTGGCGCTATCCCTAAAACATTTCAGGTCACAATAAAGCGCACCACTGCCTACTTCCCTCCTCTCCCACCGATCCATCGGTCCCCCTGTTCCCCATAGAAGGGAAGGCACCGCTCGCGACGGCACCCCTGAGTTCTGTCGGGCGTTCGTTCAGCGGGCCCGGGCTGTCGTAGAAGTGGTCATAGGCGTCCCAGGATAGGGACCCTCCCCATTTTACTTGCATTTGAATAAGAAATGTATTCATCATCCCGTTATGAGCGCGTAATGACCTCTCCTTTCTTCTTTTTTTCTTTAACCCCCTCACGCACCCCTTGCCCAGTGCAGGGTAACAAACCGGACGCGCGTCTACTTGACTACCTTGCCTTTCATTTATTCCCTTCCTGATGTCACAAGCACTGCACTTAGTGAGGCGCGCGTGTAGATTGGATTGCGTACCTTTAAAGCTCAGCATGCGCATGGCACATGTCGCGCCTGTCAGCGAGCGCTTTCTGGTGTGCCCGGGGAAACTCTACACGGCCCGACACCGAGCGTGTCAGCTCGCTCCGAAACAAGGTGCGCGCGCGCGCGTGTCAATACACGGGCGGCGTCGCCTCATACGCGTCGTGACGGTGCCTCGGATGACAGTTGCAGTCGCCGCCGACACCTGCGGCGTGTCTGCGGAGCGTGCGGCGCTGTTGTCGTCGGCAAGCGTTGTTCCTCCCAAACGAGGCGCCACAACTTCTCTGTGTCGCTCGGCGAAACCGTGACCCCCTCCACCACCCCTCTCTTCGAATGACGTGTGGGAAATTGGCCACCGTCAGGGCTCACGCTCCACCGTATATACTCGAAATGCAGATGAAGGAGGCTTCCTTCCGCTTACCGCGTCAGACTCGCTTTCGTAT